AAAATATGACCTTCCCTTATGCAAACTAAACCAAATCGATCATTATTAATACAGTGATGGATGAGAGATTCGAAGAAATTTATAGACCTGATGATTATGCAATTCAACTAGTGGACGACAGTAGAACGTGCGAAAAGATTAAAGCTGGATCGTTTGGATGTGCTCTAGGTCATCACTCATATTCGTCTGGCATTCATCGTATTCCAATCAGAATTGATTATGGCAGAGCATTTTTAGGCATTCGCTCACGAAATACACAACCAGTGTCGGATGAATTTGCTTGGGGTCGCTATGATTATAGTCCTTCTACGTATGGTTGGATTCGAGATTGTGGACGCATTTGCAATGGACACTATATAGATCTTGGTATGAAAAAGACTGAAAGAGACAATCATGTATTTGTGTTGACATTGAATTGTAATGAACATCGATTGAGCATCCTGAATGAAAACACTAAAGAACAAGACGAAATGAAGGTAGATATTATCTATGCTCCGTTACCTTGGTGTCTCTTCGTTCAACTTCCTCGGATGCGAGGTCGCCTATCGCTAGTACAACTAGCTCTTCCACGTGCCAGACCAATCTCTGATGAAACATCATCACTAGCTTCAACAAAGACACATTCGGGTATTGTAGTAACTAGTATTCGAATTTATTTCAAGTATAGTCTGTTTAAAAAAAAGAATGACCGTAGCCATTTTTGTAATAATTCAAGAACGGAAAGAGATAGAGAGCTGCGGCTTTCACCAGTTGAGCAAATACAGAATCGAAATAGTCTTTTATTTCAATAATAAAATTCTGATTGTGTAAAAAGAGATATCTTGCAAAATCGTTTTCCTTTCCACGTCGCAGAAATTATTTTTTCAATCTAGCATTGATCATGAATCGTGTCCAAAGTATGAAAAGCTGACTACTACTGTCTCAAATGATGACATAAACCTAGCTCGTCATTCATTAGATTCAAACGTCTATTGAGTTCTCGAAGTATGATTCAATCATATTTTCACTGTCTTTATAAGTATTTCCTCAAATAGATTCTTGGTAGATCGTCGTTTTCAGCAACATCCTAAGACAACAATTATACTATCAATTCAAAATGGCCCGAAGCATGGTGTATGTTGTCTTTTATAGATGTCGGCTTATCTTCCGTCTCAAACGAAAGTTCATCATCGATACAGAAAGAAGTTAAAGCTCTAACGTGTAACGGTAATGCATGTTCTCATTGTGGTAAATGTCGTGAATGGTATTAGGATGGTGATATTGACCGTGATTCCGAGCGTTTCGAACATTCCGAATCTTACGATATAATTGATGAAAAACTTTGGCATCATCATCCAAATGGAACATGCCGTTATTTTTATTTTCATCATCATGGTTCTCTTGGTAAATATCATGGACTTGATATTTGTCGTTGTCCATGATGTGACACTCATTTGATGTTCTCAACATTTTTTTTTGAAAGTCATAATTATTAATCTTGAAAATAAGATGAGTAACAATCAAACTTGAATTTCTTATGTTGTTTTTCTGATGATCTTTTTCTTGCTGAACGATTTTTCTAATTTACGAAGACGAATGTTGTCCACTAACTATTCGCGGTCTTAGACCTCCGTAAAACAACATTGATTATGCATGAGCTAGTTATTGTAATTGATCGAATCATTCTTGTTTGATGTTACTATTAGATAGATCTTATCATCACAGTTGATTTGTTTCCAAAAAAACAAGACAAGATACGAACAAAATAAAAAAAATACAATGAATGTAAAGAGATTTTTACAATATTCCAAAATCTCAAAGAATGGACATACTTTTTCTATGATAGAATCGTTGCACATGATGGAGAGAACAATTTGATATCTCTGAGAATTTATTCAACATTCTACACAAAATTCTTTGAATCAAACGGATAAACTTTCCTGAGTGTGGGTGTGGATGCGAATCTTCTCTGAATCAACATCCACACACGCATACACTCTAGTAAATTTTAAACATGTCTGATAGATTTCTTAAGCAAGAACGAAATATCTTGTTATGTTTGGAGTATTTCACCAAATATTCTATGATCGACAACAAAACAATTTATTGTACAACCATGATATTCTAGCTAATTGATTTGTGTGCTTGACTTTTTCCTCGAACTTCTATGTAATCTAAGTTAGCTATGTAAACGATTCTCATTTGTCAACATTGGAACACCGATGATGCATCATTATATCTTTCTAGTTTTCTTTCCCTTCATAGTTCACTTTCAAAATGCATCAAGATGGGAAAAACAACATCTAAATGATACGGTTATCCTATGATATCGAAATGCATTCATATTATTGCACAAGGATATTGTGAACAAATTGATCAATATCGATTTGGAACGCAATCGTCGTATGCTGTTCAATATCTATCATGATCTACACTGTACAATTAAACAAATATTAGTCAATCTGAAGGAAACGACATTAATCGACGACGATCTTATTCGCCGGATCGATGCTGATATCGATCAATTAACTTCTTCTATGGTAACATTCGAAACTGAAATAAAAACAAATGAAAAAACCGTGCACAAATTGAATATGACTGTTGAAAATTCTCGATAAGAAGTTGAACTTGCACGAAATGAAGTGAACAAGGCTGACAAAATGTTTAAGGACATGATACATCATGAGATGGAAAAATCAATCGCTGCATGTAAGTACTCTTGAAAATTTTGAAAATATCATTGTTTGTACTGGTTAATGAAGATTTTTTCAGATTATGATTGTCATCAAAAAAAAACAATATATTCATTAGTTCTTATAATCGTTTCGTTCATGGTGATTGTTTTTGTCCGAGTGATCGATATGATCACATGTGTCATGTTTATGCCTAAAGACGCTCACCATCATATCTTTCTATTAGAAATGCGCAGTACATGACCAAATTGCATTTTTCATGGTATGAAGCTCAACTGAACGAGAGCATAAAACAATAAAGTTCAGTTCAATCAGAACTAATGAAGAATCAAGCGCAATTAGAAGAGCTTAAGAAGATTTCAAATCATTTGACGCTCGTCTCGATGGATTTTCTATTTCAAAGCTCAACTTCTATACTAAACTCATCAGTTCAAGAGGCATCATTGAACCATTCAGTACTATCCTTGAAAGGTTCTTGCATAAGCAAATGATAGAGCTAACTTCATCAGAAATTTCATATCAAAATATGAGCATAATCAATCAAAATTTAGTATTACTAGCCACGAAACTTCTTAAACTGAGCCGTTATCGAAAAAAGCCCGGGCAATCTTGTAAACATACGTGAGAATTGCTGTGATGTAATTTTAATACAATCAATCTTGGAAAGGTCTTTTTTAGTACACCCAATCCTGTCAAATCTCATTCAGAAAAGCAATCGTGCAATGATACAGATGCGTCTCGTTCTCGACGTGCTGTGCCAAGTCAACAAAGAATTTTTTTCTTATATGCATGTAATCAAGCGTACTCATATGTATTTCTAGAGCGGATCATGGAATGGTTAAAAGACTTCGACATTTGGATTGAACATCTAAATGTCAACCATTAGAACGATTAAGGAAGATGAAAAAGGGACTTGATGTAATCAGTCCTTTCAAAGTTGTCATTTATTTAAACCTTAATCTTCACCATGAGGCACTACAATAACTTATTTATGCACATATTCACAAAAAATTCGAATAAAATTATCGAAACGCAACAATAAATAAACGCCTTATGTACATAGATTGTCGCAATTACTATTATCAGTATTGAACCATAGGTATTCAATGATTCCAAATCATTGTCAGCAATGAGTACTGTTAAATATAAAAGAAAATCTGCAAAATACAATTGTTCAACGTTTCTACTTTGAGAATGTATCAAACGAGAAAAAACTTGATACATTACTTTCGAAAAAACAGTAGCAACAATCAATAGAATGATTCAAAGACGACTCGAATCTTAAGGGTGTGAATATGGTTGAATAGAATACTTGTACCCATACTCTCACGCCCACATTCATTGACTTTGTTCAATTATGTACTATCTGTTGAATCTTTAGATTGTTTTTATTTTGTTCAATAAAAACAATCATGTACAATCTCTTCTGTTAATTAACATTTTCTCTAGTGACATACAAAAATAGCAAAGACGTAATTATCTATATTTCGATCAAATACTATATAGAATACAGTTAGACTTACAAAAGAAAATGCTTTCTTTAAATCAATTTGACAATAGAAATGCATGTATGTAAAGAAATAATAATATTAATAAATAATCATCAAATCAATGAATTTCATTTCAATTATTCAATAATCAATGCATATAAATGTTCATCAATATCTTGTCCATTTTTATATGCATATTTATGTAATACTCCTTCAAATACGAAACCACATTTTTCTGCAACTCGCATTGATGCTTTATTCCATGGAAATATATTTGCTTCAATTCGAACTAAATTTTTCCATTCATTTTTTATTATTTCAATTACTTTTTTTACAACTTTAGGCATTAAACCACGATGCCAATATGGTTCACCTAACCAATATCCAATTTGTGTTCGTCTTTCATTTTTAACTGAACGACGAAGAACACATCCACCTATCAATTCATTGCTTGTTCGTAAACGAATATTAAAAACACGTGTTAAATTTAATGAGTCTGATTTTACTTTTTGAATAAAATCTTCACCATCCTTTGTTGTATATGGATATGGTATTGTTAATGAATTAGCTTGTAATATTGGGTTGTTAAAATATTTAACAAATGAAGGAATATCTTCATTTGTTAATAGATCATTTATATATATATCATCATCAATATCATAACGATTTGATGCCATTATATTCTGAAAAAAAAACAAAGACAAACGTTTCTTTATTTGCTCGGTTACATCAAAACGCGAGTTTATTTATCTATGATATGAAAAGAAGACAAACAAAATAATGAAATGTTACATAGATGTTTTTTTTTACATATTTCTTCAGCTTTTCTGTCATTAGTTTAATGTGATAACAGTTTTAAAGCAAATTCAATTGCTGTTGCCGGTCCTTTACTCGTTATTAAATGATAACTATTAATTTCACCACAAACAACAAGTGTATTGAATTTAATTGATTTAAATTTATTTTTAAATGAATTTGTTGTTTCAAGATAACATGCTAGATTACATTTACGTGCATTTTCATCAGCATTGTATAAATGAATTCTTAATATTATTGAACCAGCAAGTAAAGTTGTGACCAATTTGTTTGTTTGGTAATGATCAACAAAAATAGCATCTCCTTTTTTTTTTTTTACATAACTTTATCTTTATTTTACTTTTATCAGCCACATAATAAAAAAACAAAGTCTAGTATTTTATTATTTCTAAGTTATATAGATTATATATACCACCAGATGTAATAACAGCATTCAAATGTGTCCTTGAACATCGTCTATGTAAATCAGGTATTATTTGAATATTATTAGCATATATTATTGATTTTCTATCATTTTTTCAACACTACATAATTTTAAGTTAATACCACCTCATAGTAATACATCGGCAGTAGCCACTTCTTCAGTATCTTCTGATTCATGACAATGGGTGTAGGTGTGAGTGAGTATCGAAGAAGAGAAGACTCATCCTCATATAGATTGAACATGATTATTCTATCGGAGTTTTGTGCATCTAATGATATATGAGAAATGAAAGTGTTTATTTTAGGAGTGCACATTTTTAATTTCAAATATTTCTTGTTTCGAATGATTTTAAAAACTTATTGAGCGATGATAGATCTTCATTTATATAATATAGAACATTCAATGAGATACAAATAAAAAAAGAATTTGTTCTCTGATGTATTGGTTTCAAAGTTGAGAAAAACCCATTCGAAGTTGTTCAACGAGAAAAATTGCTTCAAAATATTTAATTGTTGTTCGTTTGTTAAGTTCCTAAATTTAATCGAACTTATATGAATCACTGTCTAGGATAATGAATAGAACGTTGCAATAGTTCCTTGTCAATTGATTGCTTCATTATTTATTCGTAAATTAAGTGTACGAAGTCTTTTACATTGAATCGAATAATGGTACAAAAAACAAAAATGCATTCAATCTAGCCGGATGTATTACATTCAGACAAAGTAATACCATGTATCTTATCAATATAAACTGGAAAAAGATCCATACAAATAGGAAAATCGTTCTTACGGATGCTTATAAAATCGAAATATAGATTTAAACATTAAATAATGAGATCATCGATTCAACGAGCAGATCGAAACTATTGATATATTTCTCGAAAATATTGATCATTATTTCATTAGGTAATGATTCAATATTTATAGACGACATATAATAAGTCAAATGGAGATACATTTTTTTGCTTTATAACGTACTGTATGGCTGCTATAAAGGAATGATTTTATTTTTATCATCGTCGTTATAATAGTATGTGTCATCTTCATTCATGCAGAACGATGTTGGAAAATATCAACTATGAAGATATAAAAAAAAACAGAAGAAGCATAAAAGTGATCATTATTGAAAAAAATATAAATGATGTCATTAATAAAAAGCAAATTTGAAGATTTTCCTGTTGAAATTTACTTGGAAATTTTTAAATATTTAAGTGGATTTTATATTTATATTGGTTTTCAAGATCTTAATTCACGTTTTCGTTTATTACTTAGTAATTATTCTTTTTCATTGGATTGCACGAAGAGTCGTTACTTGGTCAGCATATGTTTACAACTTCTTCTTGATATAACACCAAAACCAATTTGTTCATTAAAAATCCAAATTCCTCTCGATTATACTAAAAGACTCTTTCTAGAAGCATATAATCCTCAACAATTTATAAATCTTGAACAATTACAAATATGTATTTCTCCACCATTGATTTCAAAAGATAACATATATATATTACAAGAAATATTAGAAAAATTCTCAGAATTTCCAAAATTATCTCGTCTATCAATAAGAATATCATACGAAATAGGTAATCATGAAGCAGTAAAAAATATTTATAAAATACTATTTAACCTATTACCATTGAAATTAAAATATTTACGATTACAATTAGCCTTACAAGATACAATTCCTATGGTAAATGGATACGAACTATTATCAAATAATAATGATAGATCAACTTTGCTAGATGATAATGATTATGAACGATTGAACAGTCAATCATTGATTATGATTGAATACTTAACAATACTTAATTATTTTGATATCAATAATTTAAAATATATTTTTTTATTAATGCCAAAATTAAAATATTTAAATATAAATTTATATGATAAAAATAATTTTGAAATGCATCGTGATCCATATTATCCAGAAAGGATACATACTAAACCATATAATTTACATGATTTAGAATCAATAATTCCAATAAATTTGAAAACATTGGATATGGCTATTGATGTTAGTATTGATTATAAAGATCTAATTGAATTTTTATTTGAACCTATGAAAAAAGCACAAATTAAATTAAAAAAGGTAATATTACAAATATATCTTTATGATTCCATTGAACAAGCAATGGTTGAACAATTAATACAAACAACATTATCAACAAATTTAATCATGACAGTTAAACGTGTATATGTTGTTACTAATATTCCGCACGATGAATATATGGGAATGGAATATTATGCTTCGCAAAATTTAGCAAGAGAAATAAAACAATTGATGTCGTATAAATAACTCTTTATTATCGACTTTTAATTTTGATCTATGAACTTTGACTTTTGTCTTTTTACTCGATAACAAACATACACACTTGAAATTATATATTTAGATTCAAACATATCTTTCATGTTGCTTTCTTTTCAATAAACTATTACAGTACGACTTGTTTAGAAGATCATATTTGTCAATACACTATCAAGTAACTAGTTACTGGAAAAATTCTCATTTACTATGACAAATAATAAGAATACTTCTCCACTAACACAATAATCAGTAATGCTATCATATGCCTATTATCTTTTCTATGACTAATTGCCAGCTAATATAACTGTCTAGAAAATGAACTAATTATCTCTAGTGCCGACATTAATGAATCGCTCAAAAATGTTCACTTAGTTGGATCTGACGATTTCTAGAGCTCTTTGCATTCAAACTTTGCAGACATGTTTTTGAGATAAAATTCCGACGATATTGCTACTGACACAGACGGATAAAAAATAAAACAATGTTTGGCCGCATTGAACGTGAAAAATCAAAAGAAACAGCGCTGTGTTACTCGTTTACTTCTTGTATTAAGAAAAACGACGTTTTAAAAGCTTTTTTTAGATGTCAACTCCTTGTAATGCGTTCAATAGATAAAATCGATGATTAAGCCAGTTTTCACGCCAAGATTGACCTGTTTTAACGAGTTTATGTGGAGAAAGTCATAAAAAAAGTTGTAGTCACTTGTTGGAACTCCTTTATGTCATTATTTTACTCAGATAACTTCGTTTTAACGTTATTTTTCTAGGGTAATGCTTTTCGTTTATGTATCATACTTATTTGATACGTGAAAAATCACGAAGAAAAATAATGTAGGAAGTAAACTAGTCAGACATAGTCGTAAGTTAATATTTCTCTTCCATTGTGGAGGATATGTATGGTATATTCTAGCTTGTTTTAAAAACGAATAAAAACGAGCATTCTAATAGATACATTCGAAAGAGAACCAGATAGGCATTGGGATGCAGAACTATTCTTTCTTTACTGTATGATATATGAATTATTATATACCAACAAATAGCATCTAAACGAACGCCAATGTAGCAGAGTGATTGAAATAATTCATTATTTTGTGTAGGCGTTTCAATTTATAATAATTATAGAAAATGTAGATATTTCAATAATCTGTTTCACCATCCACACCCTTTTTTTTGTCACTCCTAAAGAAACATCTTAGTTTTATTTTTAATTTATCTTATTTTTTTTTAATAATAGAGATTCTTTAAATTTATTAAATTTTACTTATATTTATTCTTTACTTTAATAATTAATAAATATAAATGAACAGCCCTAGTCTATACTCTAAAAAATAGGTTTATTACTGAATCCAAAAAGCATTCGACAGAGTCTGCAAAACTTTTTTTTTATTTCGGTATGTACATACAAAACCTCAAAGGTTCGTCCCTTGGATACAGATTATGTAATAAACCTATTTTGTTAGAGTGTAGTAGGGTCTTATTTTGATGCATGCATATGCCCAAGATCTGCTCGGCTTTCGGCTGAACACGATTGACTTGGGCTTTTTCATTTGGTTAACATTATTCATGCATGGGAAAATTCGATTCAGAGAATATCAGAAAGGAATAGAGTAAATGTTTGTCTGGTGCCCAAAAATAGTTGAAATAATGAAGAACTGAATGCTAATCATTTAATCACTGTGTCTCTGTGACCATATATCCAAAAAAAGTGACAGCTCCTGGACCAGATGCGCTGACAAAGAATGGTCCAGTCACATTTGGATAAAATGTTGTGGCAACCAAAACATAAATAGAGTCAGATTGAAGATAATATTCTAGCTTGAATTGCCCATTATTACCACTTTCATCGTCTTGTAAGAGTAAATTTAAAGATGGAGAGAACGGATCAAAACTTTTATTGTATAAATAGCCATATGTATCGACTTTGCTCTTGCTTGCAAGACTAAAACTACCAGTTGCGCTTACGCGTACCTGAATGGCTTCGTAATAATAGTAATGTGATAATGCACAATTCGTACGGCAATATGATAGACTTTCAGTAGTCCAAGCTGATGAGTACGTTGATTGAACACTCCATGGAGTCACTAGCGAATAAAAGGACAAGCATGAAATTCAATTGAACAGAGCAGAACAGAATTATTCATTCAGAACTCTCTATTCAATTCGTCTTCAAGAGAAGTTTTTCGAGGTTTCCATAAAACTCGATGTCTTAGATTCGCGTTCAACTTTAAGAAACCTATTTTCCAATTCTTTGATCACACCTGAATAGAGTTCAACACAGCCGAGAATGGATGACACATGTTATACTATCCTCTTTCTATGCATTATCAAAGCAACTTTGAACTCTGTCAATCATGCAAAGACAATAAAATTAATATATACTGCTATGGTTACGTAATTATACAGCGCGTAAATTTTTATCTTCAGCTTTCCTGCTTTGATCTATGCTAGAGGGGCTTTCTCAAGTGGAAATATTCGGCAGTCACTAACAGTTACGTGCTTTGATGATAAAATATTGGCGAAGTAAGGGCTTAGTTCATTAAAATTTCTAGTTATAGTTTCATGCAATTCAGAATTTGTGTGACAATCTAATGACAATGAGTCGATATCGTTCTGGAATGTCTGTTTAATTCTGTTTTAAATTCATTTTAATATCTTAACATATAGCACATTTTTCTTTCTCTTTCAATCACTTTGTCTGTTTAGTAAAGACTAACCAGCGCTAAATACAAATTGCTCACTCTTTCTTCGATGGCAACGTTCAAATTTGTACCGTCTTAAAGAAGCGACTTTCCATTTTCCTAAACTTCCACAGCAGTCCTGTCTGGATGACTATTCTGCTTCATCTTGTATCTATGACGAAAAAATTTAAACACCTACTGGATTTTATTGCTGTGGTTGTTGTCGCTGTTCTTGATGTAGTTTGAGATGTGATTATGCGGGTAAATCTAGCCAGTCTCGGACCGGATGCAGTGACTGAGAAAGTACCTGTCACGTGTGCTGAATACGTCGTCACAACTAAAGTATACGAATATTCGGGTTGAAGAGTAGCTCTGAGATTGAATTGTGAGTCGCCTCCACCATCGTCATTATATGCCAGTAAATTTGAAAAGGGATCGGAAGGATCGAAATTTGTAGTGTACATAGAGCCATAAGAATCGAAGTCGCTTCGACTTTGGAAACTATAACTGCCAGCCACGTCCACATTGACGAGAATAGCTTCATAGTAGTAATCAAATAAAGAGCAGCCACCACGACAATACATTTGGCTATCTGTAGTCAGCGTTCCATTGTAAGTTGATAGTTCGATTGGCATCGTTGCTGCCAAGTGAAACAAAAGAAAAATTAGAGATCTTATTGACGCTAAGAATTTTAAAAAAAATGAATGTAGAAATGCATAAAATAGGCTTCAAGACTACTCCTAAAGTACGACATATAAAACATTGATACAATATCCGAAGATTTTTAT